CGACCTTGCGTCACCCTCAGTTTCCGCTACCCCAATTTTGAAGGGGAAAGATAACAGTTAGGGACGGTTCCTTGGCCTCAGGTGCTTTTCCAAATGGACAAAACATAAACCGCCGCTTTAAAACCCCCCCCCCCCCTACCCCCTCCCAGCTATAGGCCAACCTACCTATAAACAAAAAACACATCCGATCATAAGCCCCCCGCTATGTTGTATTGAAATGAATTTCATTTATTATGACGTTGTGAAGCTTGATTAAAAACCAGTAAATGCAAAACGTACTTTGATCAGCGCTGCTACAGCTTGTTTCGAATTGCTTTCTTTTATTCCGGTTATAAGCCCCCTCCGATATAAGCCTCTCCTCCCCCTTTTATAAGCCCTCCTAAAACCCCTTACTTAAGCTTTGCAAATATTCTTGTCAATCGGTCGCAAATACTTTAATTACCCTGAATGGGTTGTCATGAAAACAAGGTCACCGTGCTTAGAAGAGGGAAACGAAAACAGAAGTTTCCTTTTTTTTCTCGCCACGCCTCCCCTCCCTCCTCTCAACTTCACTCTCAAGAGGGCTGTCCAGTGTGGGTGCACAACCAGTCTAAGGTAGTCTACTGAACACTAAGTAGTGACGTATGGTTGAAAATACGTTCCAATACAAAAATGATTTTAAACAATTCTAATACAGTATTTGCAAAGTTCATTAAAGATTTTCTTGTATATCAAATCTCCGAAGCAATGTAAATTTATTGTTCTTTTCAAGTTATACAATACACTCTTATTCACAGGAGAACCCGAGAGAGAACTGACAGAGGTACATTGTGATGAATCGAAAATTTCCCACGAGCATTTAGAGGAGCTCAGGATGGGAGAATATATAACACCGGACCTAACAACACAATTGATGGAAATGAAAAAGCAACTGGGGATAAAAGATGAGCAACTGAGAGTGACAAAAGAGCAACTAAGGAGATCAGAAGACCAACTGAGAGTGAAAGATGAGCGACAACAAACTTTACAGAGACAGCTGACCACTCTGCGAGCAGAGAAAGAAACGCAAGTGAAAGAAAATGAAAAATTACAGGATCAGCTCAGTATGAAGCTGAAAGAATTTACTGACTTGGAAAAAGAGTTTAGAGATAGCGTCCAAGACCAAGTAGATCTAAAAAGAGAACTTTCTGTAGCTAATGAAAAATTAAGTAAATATGAATCTCAGTTAATAACACGTGACTGGATAATTTCTCGGGATGAAATTGAAATTATGTTTGATAACTGCCTAGGAGATGGAGGATACGGAAAAGTTTTTAGAGGCAGATATCGTGGTTTTGTTGTTGCCGTAAAAACACTTAAGGACTTTAGTTTAAAAGATGGAGGACGTGATTTGTTTGAACGGGAAATGGACATCGCTTCAAGGTGCCGTCATCCATGCTTGTTGCAATTCATTGGTGCAACTCAAGAAGAAAAGCCTTTGTTTGTCACAGAGCTGATGGAATTAAGTTTACGAAAACTGTTAAAAGAACGGCCGCTGTCCGAAAAGGAAATCGTTGTCATTTCTGTGGACGTGGCTCACGCCCTTAATTACCTTCATAACAGAAAAATTGTCCATCGTGACGTCAGTAGTGCTAATGTGTTGCTCTGGAAACAAAATGACCAGTGGCGAGGCAAACTGGGAGATTATGGCACTGTTAAATTCTTGCAAGAGATAATGACAAAGTCTCCCGGAGCTATGATTTACAGCGCCCCTGAAGCAGGAAGTCCTTTTAACCAAACAGTTAAGGTTAGTGTTGCAGATTAACTTGCTGATAGAAATACCTGTCACACAGCAGAGTGATTTCACTTCTTGGTCCAAACTTAAAATATTAAATGAACAGCTCATCAATCAACTTCTACTTACACGTGGATAGTTACCGAGTATCACTGAGTCTGCACAGTCCTTCAAAGGGATGTCTGTTTTTAAGGTTCCTCTGAAACAAAGGTCAGTAAACTAACTGCTCTGAAAGTGAAGAAAGGATGCATCTACCTTTACCCCCTCCTTGTAGATACGGGAAATTCGCGACTATAAAAAAAAAATTAAAAGCTTACAAAATCTTGCCATCGAGATTTCCCTGAATGTCTTCACCTCATTACTTGAAAATGACTTCTTGCCCATAGAATTTTTTCTTAGAATGGAGAGAATCATTGAAGGAAGTCATTTATGAAAGGAAATCAAGCAGTTACCCTCCATTTTAAAAGAGAGTATACTTCAGGCGAAGTTATCTTAGCTTGTGCGCGTGACGCGACGTTTCAGAGGGGATTACCTGCAATAAAGGGCACAAAAACAATAAGCTATGACAGCAATGTTTGCGCTTTTTGCGCGCATCCTCACAGACTTCAATTTTTGTCGTATTGTCACTTCAAGTAGCCTTCTAGCGCTTGCAGTTGACAGTGAACGTTTGGAACCACGATCGGTTTACCTCTTGTGTCGACATCCTGATCTAAATGTGTCGAAAATAAATGTAATGTACACCTGGTGCGCAACACCAGGGCCAAATTAGACGCACTCGAAAATATCATGTAGGATAAATTGCTGAACATAGATTTTAATTCGAATGAAAAGTTGGCCTTTCTACCCTTTGTTACTTACTTTTTTAAAGAAATTTCACGTTTTCATTTTTTTCTTTAAGACCTTACCTACGGGATTTAAACCTAGTTAACGCTTAAAAAAATGGGAGAGAAAAAAAAATTGAAAAGTCACCAAACTGCAAAATCTACACTCTTAGAAAAGCAAGGGTAGTTTTCGGTCTGCAAGCAAAGTTTGGAATAGTTTTCGGTTCTTTTTGTTTCAATGGTGACCAAGAATCATCGCTTGACCACGTTTTTTTGCAAGTTGTGCAACGACGAATGGGTTACGGAAAATACTGAGAATACCATATCATTTAAATGGAAAAGGTAAAACATGTTTTTTTTTCGGTTTAGATTGATGTTTACAGTTTTGGCGTCCTCTTCTGTGAAATGTTTACAAGGAAAATTCCAGTTTTTGATGAACGTAAAAAACACGTTGACCTTGTCCCTAACAGGCCAGGCAGGGAGTTCCAGGACCTGGTGCTGCGGTGTACTGAAGAAGATCCAACAAGGAGGCCAAGCATGGAAACAGTTATAAAGAAAATGGAAACATTTATAGTTCAGAATTTGTTAGAAAAGTCGAGTTAGAATGACATTATTTGAATGTATTTTATAATTTAGGAACCTTGTTAAGATTGTAAGAATTAGACTTGATGACAGAAATTTAGAGAAATTTATACGGATATTTTACAGATATTATAAGGTCTGGGCAGTAGGTGGGCTCACCTTCAATTTTGCAAACGTTACTTAGAGGTAACAAAAACGCTTCTGATATAGCTTGTAGAGCAGAATTTGGTCGTTTTCCTTTAAATATCACTATCAATGAGAAAAATTCCTCACTATTCAGTCTAAAGATGATCAAACAATCATTTAACTTACACTCGCACTGTAATGGCAAAAATAGCTTCCACTCTCATTTGATGAATATGTCAAAATATTTTAACCTTCCTAACTTTCATCCTGATTTACTAGATACCACCATGGTAAAAAGCTTTGTAAGTTCAATGAAACAGGGATAAATATCTTATTGGCAATACATCCTTCAACATTCTCAAAAACTTGAATTTTATAGATCTTTTAAAACCGATCAGACCACCTCCAATTACTTAGACTTAACAAGAGCAGGCCCGTAGGGAGGGGGATGCTACGGGTGCGCTCGCACCCAGCCCCCCCCACACCCCCCCCCCCCCACCCCCCCCCCCCCCCCACACAAAAAAAAAAAACAACCCCACCAACCCCCACACCTCCAGACGCCCCCCACACTACCAGACAAAAAAACATGAAAATTTATTCCTCTTATTTGTTCCACTCCAAGGGGGGAGCGGTGAGACAAAGATTCCATAAGATCTCAAGACATGCTGCACTGGTCGGCACACGGAGGTTGCGCTGATAGTACTCTCTCAGTGGTGGGGGTTTGA